CAGTTGTCCACGTTCCAGCTGCCTCCTGCCAAACCCGCTGCCCCTTGTTGCACCCTGCTAACCCTACGGCTGCTTTTGTCTTTGTTTTGGAGCAAACGTGCGAATATTTTTGCAACTTTCGGTCGCAAGTTGCACAGGATATGGCCAGGCATACGGTCATATGGCCAGCTAGAGCCAGCTAGGCGCTAAGGCCTGACACTAGGTGTTACCCAGTTTGGTTACTGCTACCCCACTCCGTTTACCCTTCCTGCTGCGCTACTGTATGGGTAGCTGGCAGCAAATGCGCTTTTGGTTTTTGATTTGTTTTTGGTTTTGCCTATTTGGGTTTTGCATGCTGAAATATGCTTTATGCGTCTGGCATGTGGGCGTGGCATTGCCACAACTGCTGCCAAATTCAATTCAATTGTCCACAGCCATAGCAGCAGCCGGGAAAAAAAGGCAAATGGGCATCACACACACATACGAACACACGTTTAGCTGTGGCCACAAGGACAAACAGGCGGCAGTTTTTGGTTTTAGGCTTAGCTTGTTTCACGCACAACCTGCGTCCCTGCCTCTCGTTATATAATGTGGCATCATTTTGTGGTCAGCATTTATGCAGGACATGTGCATACACTCACACACACACACACACACACACACACACGCACACTTACAGCCACACAACGTGCACGAAGCGTACAATTTGCAGGCCTTTTGTTGACATTTTGCACCCTTGCACCACCCACTTTATGCGGTCGCCCGCACTCACATTTGACTTTTTGTGAGTGGAAGCAACGTGGGGGCGTGCATTTAATGCACCAGCAATGGCTGAAGCGGCAACAAAGTCAAAAGTCCTGCCATGAGGTCAGCTGAGCTGCAGTTCATTTAAAATTTCACGTTGCGCATACGCTGCGTTGTACGTGGTGCACCACAAACTTAAAGTTTAACTTTACTTTTTGTTTAATTTTCTTTAACTCACAGCCAAAAGTTGTCCCTGTCTTTGTTGCTGTTATTGCTGCAACTGCTGTCTGTTGCACATACAGCACAATGGCTATAGTTGCGAGGGGGTAAGCGGGTGGGGCTGCTGTGTTAATTGATCGTTATTGTCTTTGGCTGGGCGAGAAAGAATATGGAGCGACCGGTTGACTTATCGAAGGACGAGGCCATTAGCAGCAACAAAACTGATACCAAGCAGCGCTTTTTGCTGGGGCGTTATTATTATTTCAGTCATTGTTGCCTACGCTTGTTGCTCCTGCTTCTGCTGCTGCTGCTGTGTGTGTGTATGGTTGTGTGTATGTGTGTGTGTGTTTGTGTGTGTGTGGTTATTACTGCTGTTGTAGTTGTTGTTGTTTGTGGTTTGCGGTTGCTGTGGTTTTGCTATTTGCGGCATCTTTGGCTTGTCATGCGATGCTGACGCTGACGACGATGACGATGACAACAATAGCAAAATATATTTTTTAATTGTACTCTCGGGTAAACATATATCACAGCAACGCACAGCAACAAAACGCACCATGAACTCAACTCATCTCAACTGAACTGAACTCAACTCAACTCAACTCGGGCAGCCAAACTGAGGAAGCGGAAATGACAGTACGACAATGGCGACAACAAGAACGGCAATGGCAATGCCAGCTACAGGATCTAGGAGCCCGAACAACTTCAACTACAGTTTGCCTCCTTTTGAGAGCCTGTGGCTGTGCAGCTCACAAATGTGCGCACGGGGAGCCATACACGAGTGACGCTTAATGAAAGCGCAACAGACAACCACAACGCACACACAGACACACATTCACACAGACACACACTTACGCACACGCACATAGCAGATGCAAAAGCACTGGACCAGAGCAAATCGCAGAGGGCAGTGAGACAAAAAAAAAATAGAAACCGCACAGAAACAAGCAGCAACAACATAGCAATAATAAAATTGCTGTTAAGTGGGGAATTGAGATGACAGACCAAATTGCGAGGCCGCCCGTAACATAGATACGGGGGTCTGCTAAAAAAAACTATAGGTCACCGCCAACAACTATCTAACTAACTAACCGCTTTCAAAGAAAACGCCAACATACTGACTCGAGTCGAGTTTTTGCGTCGGATAAATGTGTGTTTTTTACAGTAAAACAAACAGTGAGCGGCTTTTCTTAATAGACATATGAGTCTATATAAAAGCTCAATATATGTTTCTACAGGAGCAATATAATTTAGTCCGTGCAATTATAAACAGGTTTCCAGATAGGCTGGAAGATAAGTGATGTCGATTATTGCTAAGTTAGTTAAATATATCTTGCAAGCCAGAAGAACATTGTTCCATGCAAAACCCTATTTTTCCATAGATTTTTCCCTTAGAGCTGTTGAGTGAGACTTAGCTTATAGAACAAACATCTCAGTTTTTTATGCAAAAATATAAATTGAACCGATTATTTTCATAGCAGATATATAAAATAGTAGTCCGATTCCATGTTTAACCTGCAAACAAGTATATTAACGGAGCTGAAAGTTAAGTTATGTGACGATTGCCTTAATGCTGAGAGTTTATTTCAACTGGACTGTTGATACTGATCAACAATATATATGTTATTCATGCGACGTCTCCAGCGAAAATCGATAACATCGATAGCAATCATATCACGTTGATTTACATTGCAAGTGCATGCAATTACAAGGCAATTAACATTGCCATTTAACCATGAAGCGTGTACAACGTGACGGCAACAACAGCAAACAATGCGACCACGATTAATGTGTGTACACACACAGACGCACACACACACATCCATGACGTTCAGCCATTTATTTATGTTGCTACATTATTTGTGCATGCGTCTATGTGTGTGTGTGTGTGTGTGTGTGTTCTGGCAAGCTCAAGCTGTTGTCTATTTTGGATAGTTGTCCTTTTGTTTTTGACCGTAAATAATTACAAAATTCACTTGCCAAATGCTTTGACTGTCAATTGTGTTTGTCAAATGACGCCTACAACCCTTCACCTAGCCTTATGAATTGTACCATTTCTTGTTGTCCGCCTGGGCATACATATTATGCCATATGCCCATCGCTCTTGCAATTGTTATAAAACTAATGCAGCCCCATTGAGAAGTTCAACTGCTTGTTGCATATATTGTTTGTGAGCTTATGCGCACATTAAGTGCAGTCATTAAATCGTAATACCATTTATCATTTCTGCTGCTCGTTAAACTGGCAATGGCAATCGAGAGGCCTGTTGCTAAGCCTCTTTAGTTGATTTAGCGTTTTATGTTGTTATTGGTAGGCAACATTTGGCTTAAAGTCAGCAATTTTGTTGCAAGAAGTCAAGAAAGCAACTACTTAGAGAAACCTACTTGACTGGATCGAAGAGTGCTTGAACAAACGAGATGAAGTATATATCCGTATACTAATGATAATAAAGGTGCAGAAGAACAGTTTCAATTTGTTGCAAAGAGTTGATTGGGCAAGCTACATTCGCTAGTCTCACCTCTTCACATGCTCTAGTTCTACATGGTAAGCCAGTCTCAGCTATTCATTCGCTCTTCTCTCGCCCTTCTTCTAGCTAATACTGATTAGTCTAACTTATACGCTGATTAGTCTCACGCTTCTAATTAATTACTAATTAAAAATGTTTCATTTCCACCTCAATTCTTGATTTGAGACTGCCATTTTACTCTTATATAATATAAGAACACTTTCAAGTGCGTGCAGCACGTCCATCAAATATTGCATATAGCATATGATTGTTGCACTAGGCACACGCATTACGTATACGCCGTTTGGGCCTGGTTGAGTTTGTTAAATCAAATACACCAAATATGATTTATTTCACGTAAAATAAACAATACCGAGCTCAACAACGTCACATAAGCTAGCAAGTAGCATGCTCTAGCATACACACAGACACACACACACACACACACACACAACGCGCTTACGCAGACACCTTTGTAAGCCGGCAAACAAATACATTTACATATGTGTATAGTGTGTACGTGTGTGTGTGAGTGCTGCTGCTGCTGTTTATGTGTACACATTCATTAAAATGTCGAACATCGAAAGTGCCCATTCAGGTTGTTGTTGCCACGGCTACGCCCACTGCATCCGCCACTGCAACGGCAGCTGCATCTGCAAATAATTGTCAGCTTACACGAGCTGAATGCAGCACACAGCACCAACAGCAGCAACAATAACAATAGCAACAACAACAATAACAACAGCAACAGCAACAGCAACTGCAAAGTGAAAAAAAAAGTCTAGCAACCAAAATGAAACAATCACGTGCTCCATGAAATCTATGGAAGCGTGTATAAATGCACGTGAAAGTGGGATTGCAATGGCACTGGCAATGCTAACGAAGGGTGGTTGGATTGGGCAAAGCAGGCTAAACTAGGAAGGGTATCCTGCTACCGCTCCTCTACGCCGTCCTACTGATGCGGATGGGATGCGCTGCGGCGGAAGTCAAACGTTATTTGTAATGAAAACAGGGGCATGTGTTGCATATGTGTGCGTGCGTGTGTGTGGCTAACGATGCCAAAGTATCTCTGACGGTGTGTTTGTGTGTGTGTGTGTCTGTGTCAAATTTGGTGCATTGCCAACGCACTTCAGCAGCCAAAGCGAACGGCAGGGTTGAAGCTGAAGTGTGGAGAGCAGCGCTCAGAGATATTTGAATTGCGTCAACGAAAAATGCTGCTGCACATGACGCGTGATTTATGTATTTTCGTCAAATGGCAGCCACAGCAGCCACCGCAGCAGCAACAAAAACATCAACGACAACAACAACAGCAACAAAAACAACAACACAAGCAATAGTTGCTGTGACGCTGCCATGAAATGCTAATGATGCCATGCCAGAGATGCTTTCATAACCGTCACGAGTGCGACACTGCCGCATCCTTGCCCCACAATCCACACACACACACACACACACACACATACGAACACACTCCTTTAATATATGCATGTATGTGTCTGCTCATGTCTAATGTCTGTCGTTTTTCTGTGTTTTCCTACTTTTTTTCCATTTGCAGGATCACAAGCTGAAGCACATGGCTGAGCTGCAGCAATCAGTTGTCACCGATCAGGAGACGCGCCATCAAATTCAGGCACAGATTTTGCAATGGGAGGAAAACCTTGAGCGCCTGCACTGTGAACAGTTCCGACTGCGCTGCTATATGGCCTCGCTTCAGAGCGGCGAGCTGCCCAATCCAAAGGTGAGTTATGCGTACGATTATAACACCCAGCCCCACAACCCTCTCAAGCGCCAAATGGCAAAATGGCAATTGCCGCAATTTGTTTTACCTAACGGAAGCCACAGAAAGTTCACATAACGTGGCTGAGATTGCGTCAATTTGAATTACTTAGCTCCTGCTGCTGACACTCATGCTGATGCTGATGCTGATGCTGATGCTGATGGTTCTGGAGCTGCTCTCGTCTCTGTGGTGATAAACTGCGTACCTGAAACTGCTATTCAATGCAAAGTAGTTGTCAAGTGCACAGGATAACAGCAGTCTCTAGGGGACCAGTAACAGGTGGTACTTGAAACTGAAGGAATAGCAAAAAGAGTTACAAGTCTATTTAAATCTGTTATATTATAAATGCAAAGGGAAGCTAGAGGGTTAAGCCTCGACAAAACTTGACTTGATTCAAAGAATTTAATGTCTTTAATGAAGGAATTGGGATGAATTTCAGGCGCTAAATAAAGTCTATTCACGCTCGGTGTACAAGAAACCATATTTAGGACAGACTCAGAGAGATTTGATACAAGATGCTCAATAATTTTAAGCTGACTTTCGTAATTGCATGTAAATAAAACTAAATATCTAACAAAGTTACGCACCCACCTTCAATATTCCTGTAATCAACCACAAGACTTGTCGTAATCTTTTTAAAGCTCACACAATACAACAAGACAGAAGTTGATTAAAAATTACCCAGACTTTAAAATAAAACTCACTTGTGAACAACTCAAATCCAGCAATAACGAAGCTTAACACACAACTCCAGAAACAAAAAAGGCACAGATTATAGCTCTACGCAGAGAGTTTGGGGCTCCGTTGTCTATAATTGGTTTTACCTACTTATATTTAGAGCGGCGGCAAGAGTGGGCCGAAATTTCGATTGCACGGACTAGTTGAGAATCCGCAACGTGTACTGTTAATCTGCATAACACAATTTAAGCGCCTTAAATGAGCTGCAGCTTAAAGGGTCAAAGGGCACTCTTGGGGGTAACTTCCAGAGGTAGCACAAGCAACTCGAACTTTGCACTGCATTAAAAAGATTTGCGAGACCAACCCAACGTAACCCAACATGATGGGTGACGAAAAGGGTTGCAAGTTAATTGCGCTTTTTATGGCTTGTAGAGAGCACTGGAGAGGGGTATGAGGGGTGTAAAGGGAAAATGGGGGCTAGCAGCCAGCAAATGCAGTGCTTTCAACTCAACTACTCGCATAAAGAGCAACCACATTTATTATTAATAACCGCAAAACCCAAACAACTTCAACAGCACCACTTACACGAGAAAGTGCATGCACCGGAGGCTATTTACACAGCACACTCGCAAGCCAAGCATACACACACACACACACACACACACACACACAAACACACACACGCACAAACACAAACACTCAGCCAGTTAATGTACTTTGTGTGGTTGTCGGTATGTATTATGAAATTAATTATGTCATATCAGTCAGGTTGACCAAAATGAATCAGCCAGTTGCTCAGTAAACGATTTTCCACTTGCCTCTGGCTATTCATCAGATCGCGAGCAGGAGTAGCTAACCATCCCATTTTTAATGGTCCTTGTGGTTTTTCTTGCTACCGATAACTTTTCATTTACACTCAGCTCTTGCACTTACAACTTACCCGACCAATTTTAGTGTTTAAATTAATTTATGGGCTGTATTTTTCTATGGATTATCTAAAATAGTATTATATTTAACTTTTTATTTATTTTTTTTCTACTGCAGTCACTGCTCACACACGTGTCGCGGCCGACGAAGAACACTTTAAATAAATTGGGAGTTTTTACGGTCTCGTCGTTCCATGCCTTCATTTGTGCCCGGTCGCCGTCGCTGCTCAATAATCTGTTGGCTGGACGTGGTGCCACCAAGCGACGACCTCCGATGCTATCTCGCTCCAATAGCGGCTCCAGTCGCCGCTCCATGCAGGTAAGTAACACATAAAATTGAGCCCACTGCTCGTATACGTAATAAAAGTATATCAATTTTTTGAAACGATTTTATGACGCCTCTGTCTGCTCATTTTTATGGCGTGTGCGAAGTGGGCGTGTGTATGTTTATATGTATGTGAGTGGGAATGCTTAAATAATTGAATTGTATTTAAGGCAGCGGAAACGGTATTAAAAGCCAAATTGAGCGCTAATGCGCTTCTGAACGGCAGCTGAATGTGTCACCAGCGTTTCACAAACTTCTCTAATGTACTTCCACGCTGACCGCTGTCGCGTATTTTTAACATATTGTTGTCCTTCTTTTTTTTTTTGGATGGTGGTGTGCGCTTCTTTTATAATTCAAATTTAATGGCCATCAGGAATTACAAAAACAAATTTATGAAGCTGCCGGAAAAAACGCCCAATTTTGTTTTGCTTGGCTGGAAGATTCTTTAGATAACCATTAGGCAAATGGCAGCAGCAGCGGCAAAAAACTAATCCAAAGTTCTGAAAATATTTGCATAAGTTACGTAGCTCGCTTTTCCAAAAGCCAGTTTAATCTCGATAAAGGCAAACACACAAATCACAAATATGTGAAACACTTTTACAATTTACATTTCACAAATGCAGCTCTTCAACTAAATGCTTTTTATTTGCACTTCATCCCATTCAATAGTCAAATAGTCTTTGTATTGATATTTAGAATTTTTGGTATTTCGTTTAGAAGTCAACCACACAAATAGCAATGAAAATAATTGAAATATGCAAAAATGCATTTTGTGCTTATCCTTAAGATTATCACAGCCGCAAATTGCATGAAGTATACGCAGCATCAAACGCCGGACATTTTTAAAGGCATTTAAGTGTATTAAACTATAAACTCAATTTGCGGAAATTGATGCTTGAAGTCAAGTTGAAATATGTGTGCATTTTCATACACTGCCAATGGCTATTTTGGCTATGTCATCTAATATGTGTCACACTTAATGAATGTCTTGTCTATTGACATCAAATTTAAATAGACGACTATGAATGATAAAGTTGATTTTCCCATTTGCTAAAATACTTGAATTAGCTTACCATGTTGTTTAGTTGGTTGTATTTATTTAGCAACACGAATTAAACCCGTTCTTTCAATTTATTATGCCGTTTTTGTTGTGTTATTTATGGACTCGTTATGTGTTTGATGCTGCTTATTTGATAAACTTCAATTAGAGCTGGCAGTTTTGCATATACTCGTTTATTTTTTTATATATGTGCATTTTCATACACTGCCCGTGGCTATTTTGGCTATGTCATCAAATATGTGGCGCACGCAATGAATGCCATGTACATTGACAGCAAATAGACTATGAATGCCAAAGGGTTAATAAAGTCGATATGCTAAAATACTTGAATTAGTTTACCATGTTGTTTAGTTGGTTGTATTTATTTAGCAACACGAATTAAGCCCGTTCTTTCAATTTATTATGCGTTTTTTGTTGTTTTATTTATGAACAAGTTATGTGTTTGATGCTGCTTATTTGATAAACTTCAATTAGAGTTGGCAGTTTTGCATACTCGTTTTTTTTTTAATGAAATTCATTTCATAAATTCAATTTGTTTCGATTATTGGCAAAATAATCTTGTGCGCAGCACTCGATACTCGCACACACACACACACATCACCATGTATACACACAAACCCGTCTAGAGGGGCGTGCACACTTCATTTCCAATTAAATTTGCCAACGCTGCACAATTGCAGTCGCCGTTGCCAGTGAAGCCAAAAATATTCATGGTAAAAACAAGAACATAAATATATAAATATATATAAAACGTTACTAACGTAAAATGAGACTCTTGGATTTGGTGCTGTAAATGCGGCGCTGAAAATTCATTGAATTTGAAAAATGTGCATTTGATTTGGTTGATATTTTTGCGCAGTCAACTCGATTGACTGTGCGTGTGTGTGCGTGGCTTTTCATTCTGCCAGCATGTCAGCTGCAATGCAGTTGAAATTGCAATTGAAAATGAAATGAAATCAAATTAAAGGTGTCCGCCAGCGCCGGTGGCAGCGCTCGCAACTGGCAATTATCGAGCAGCGCAAACTCTTTGGAAAATGGCCTTTAAACAATTTTTGTCACGACGCATTTAATTGGCCCATGCTAGTTGGTCCGAAGAGAGGTGGCATCACGACGCAAAATTGAATTATGCAACGAAGCGACAACTGAAAATTGACTTGTGCCACACCAACGGCTCAACCAGCGTGCAACTCGTTGTGGCATTAAGCAGCCAAAGTTCATTAATCGACAGTTCAAAGTGCGCCCAGCCACGGGTAACGTGAGCTGAAACGCAAAATTAAAACAGTTCCTACAAAGTTGCATAATGCTAATGAAAATGCGCACAGTGCTGGCCAAATGCAGCTGCGATCTAAGAAAAAAACTGCGCTGAACTCAATTGAATTGGAAAATATAAAAGTTTGACGTTTATTTGAGACCATAAAATACATATATTCCAGATCAGCTCTAACCGTCAAGTCTAGTTGATTATAAACGAAAGGCATTCTGTACACTTTATATTTTACTATTTAATAATCATTTAATAATAGCATGCGTAATTCACTTTAAAACAAGTCAGAATACATTAGTCGTGTATAACCGACTGCGTAATACTCAATCAAGCCATTTTCTGACCTTTAATGGGTCTAAATATAAAACTCAGCACTATCTGGCAGTCGAGCATTGCATAAGCCCCATATACTCCATTTCCATTTGTAAGCGAGCATGCAAAAAGTAAATTGCAATCACAAATTTATTGAATATTTACCACAGAGATTTTTAAGAGTCTTTTGTGTTCCGAATATTTCTTAATTATCAGACATAAAAACGAAAATACTGCGAATTGTTCGCATTTGGTAATTTATCTTCCTATCCCTCTCTCTTTCGCTCTGTTTGTCTCTCTTTCTCTCTCTCTCTCTCTCTTTGTGGGAATTTTTAACTTGATTATATTTATAATTTGCAATCTCTGCAGCTGTTGCCTTCGCATTTCACATCACGTCCAAGCGACCGCACAAACAACAAAGGACAATATTATACAAATGCATTCATTTCCTGTATATGAATATAAAGTTGACACCCAAAAATGCAACGCATTGCATATTTATTATTGATTTCGCTGTGTGGCATCAACTGTGCGGCATAATGACTTTGCAAGCGATATATGCCGCAATAAACATATATGCGAACAAATATAAATATACGTGCTTATAAGTATGTATATGTATGCAAAAGAAAGATGCCAACGTTGCCCAATTGTTATGCAATGCAAAGATTCCTTTCAGTTGATGCTGCTGCTGCACATGTGGCAAGCCTGACGGATGTGCATGCAAATGTGGCATAGCTGCCGCTGTCGCTGCTGCTGCCAGTTTGTCTCTCTCCCTCTGTATGTGTGTGTGTGTGTGTGTTTGAGTTTTGTAACTGCCAAACTAATTCAATTGTCGTGCAAGCAGTAAACTGCACACACACCCAACAGTTGATAAGTTAATGTGGTGTGTATGTGTGTGTGTGTGTGTGTGTACGCATTACACCTGTGTGCGGCTGGCTCGGGGCGCCTGCTGCAGCGGCAATGGCAACGGCAATGGCAGCCAAAGTTATTCAGCCAGCAAAATCCATCGTCGATGGCTGCCAATACAAATGCAATTTTCAGCCGGCAACAACTGGCAGCTGGGCGCCTGATTCGTTTACCAGTTGGCCAAACTGTTCGCTGCAGCACGGCGCCAACTTCAAATCCAGCTGCAGCTTTAGCGTTACCTTCTCCCTTCTGCCTAACCATCTCTCATACACACACACAGGGACGATGATGCCGTTAAGCATTTTAACTGAGTTTTCTTCAAAATGGTGTCTGTCAGAGTCCGTTGACTGCCGACTGCCTGCTGGCTGACTGCTGCTGACGTTTTTCATTACACATTTGCTCGGATAGAAATGTGTTTTTGCTATTTTTCAATTTTCACTTCCGTGTGTATGTGCCCCAACAACAACAACAACAACACCAACAACAGCCTTAATGACATTGTGTATGTGCCAGTGTGTGTGTGTGTGTATGTGTGTGCTCGCCTGGCTCGCCTGTTTATCCAATCGAATTTTCTGCCTTTTTCCAGATGAATTCACGTGACGAGCCGGAAAAAACCTTCAAAGTTGCAATGCCCGACAATGCTTACTCGACAGTTTATCTACGTGACGCGATGTCTGTGGAGGAATTCCTTGCCAGCGCCTGCGCCCGTCGCAACCTCAATCCCATGGAGCACTTTGTGCGCGTCAAGAAGCGACGTGACATGGAGGATCACAATTACTTTGTGCCACATCGCAATGATCTGATTGAAAATTATGTAAGTAACCTATACCAGAAGCCCGCCACAAAGCATGCCCAGGCACACAAACACACAGACACACGCCTTCGTGTGGGTGTGTGTCTGTGTGTTTGTGTGTGTGGGTGGCAATTTCGATTGAACTTTGAACTTTGCGCATGTGTTTGTTGTTTGCTCAAAATTAAGGGCAATTAGGGAGTTAGGTTTTTTCTTGTATCGACAAAGGAAACGTGAACCAATTCAAAGGATTAAATGCGATTTGTTGCCACAAACGATGTGCAAATGTTTCGGATTTAACAAAGACCTTCGAGATTTTCTAGCTGGCATTAGAATTCAAGTTTAATTATAGTTGTAACTAGAACAAAGCAAAGATTGCATTTGAGTTTAAATACTTTAACAATTGCCTCAAAAAGTATGCAACAATATTATTTCAAATTGAAATATTAAATGCAATCAATAATGCAATTATAAATGAAAACGGACGTGTTAAGACACAAAATCCATTATAATTACACAAATGACAACGTAATCTGAAAAACAATTTAATAACCATTTAAATTAGTGTCAATTTCAATTAATTAAATTGAAATATATTATATAATTGTAAATTGTTTGCTAAAAAAAAGGATATTTGCTTGCAAATTCGAAAAACTTGGCTATTTGATTAATATCAGCTCAGTCTTGTATAGACCACACACATGTTAGGCCCTCGCAGTTTTCAGCCTCCGAAATTGTGGCCACTTAGCAGACGATTAGTCTAAGGATGCCATTTCTCAAACTGCCAAGTCAGCCACCACCCGAACGAAGGCAAGTGCTTCAACAAAACTGCGAACAGAACTCCCTAAAAAAGTTTGTGCTGAACAACAAGCTGTAAATATTGCCAGGTCAAAAGTGCAGCTGTACGAAACTTTTTGGATGCTCAATAAATTGAGAATTAAAACAACTTTCCGGGGTCAAAATTTATTGGAGGAAGGGAAAAATAAGAGAAAAGGCAACCTTTTTATTTTTAGCTCTTTTGCACTGTGGCTTTTCGGCTAATTTTTGTATTTTGTTTAACCTCAGCTACATAATCACGAATTTGTGGAGGTCTGCATGAAAATACTGTACCAGGTCGAGCTGCAGCGCACCACATTGGAGCAAATGTGGGGCTTCTCGGTGGAAGCGGAGCTGATTGAGAATGCCGAACGGCAGGACGAGCTCTGTTGCTATGTGAGCCGCGTCGAGGACAAAAGTGTCGCCATGCACAATGGTAAGTACTTAAGGAAAATAACACTCGAACTTCTACAGTTGCTTAGCTCAGCACAATTCAGTGCACTCACTTGCAATTTATGACACAAACTGCCAAATGGCCAATACCAATGGGCAAACATCATGATTTCCTGTTTCCGGCCAACCAAACAAACACGTTGCCAGGCCAACTAAGTCTTTGCCAGCCGCAGTTCGCCGACTGAAACAATGTGCGGCCCAATGTTGGCAAAGAAAATTATCAAGTGGCACGCCCAAGCGTCATCCCCTCCCTATCCCCCCCTTCCATCTCCTCTCACACCGCTCGCACACTCAATAGTGCTCGGTTGGCATGTGCCTTTTCTGTATAAGAACTGCGCTTCTTTTATATTTAAATGCTTTTCACTTTTATGTCACAAAACTTGAGCAAACTCGCTTTGGTTGCACAGAGGAGAGTCAAGTGGTGCACTGGAGTTGCAGGAGTTGGAATTGAAGCAACTGCAGCCTTTAGAGTGAGCAGCAGTTTGTATAGCAGCTCCTCAGATCCGGCTGCTGCGCCTGCTGCAACTGCTGCATCTTTATAAAAACTCAAAAGTCAGCGCTTGTGACCAAGCAGACATCACGTTGATGATGAGCAGCGCACTCGTAGATGCTCTCTCTACGTGTGTGTGTGTGTGTGTAGCAGAGTATGGGTGTGGGTGTATAAAGTGGATGCACCTGTAATGGCAGCCACAGGGCCATAGCGCCATGTTGAATCCTTAAAGGGTTTTTGGGCATCATCTTAGACGTCGTTGCCCGCCCGCCCTTATACCTTGCCAACCTTGTTGTTTTTCTATCACTTAAAATCAACTTAAGTTGGCATTTGCATGCGTCCTGGGCTGGAGCACAGGCGCAGCTAGCGAACTGCAGTCAAGTGCTTGTAGTCGAAATGCCACTCGAGCAGCGCTTTAAATTATGTCGCCTGATGTTGACAGTACCTCAGCCCGCCAGTACGCCCCGCCAGGTGTTGGAAGTATAACTGCAACGCTGCACTTGCAAAAGTGATGAACCTGAAAGAAAATTTCGCAGCGGAAACCTCATTAAGCACGTGGAGTGCGAATGTGGCAACGATGGCGACGACAACGACGATGACGACAACAACGAATCAAAAGTCCATAAAACAATGTGCACGAAAATCGTTAGCAAAAAGTGAGACATGAACCCGCCCAGCACCCGCAGGCGCCAGGACTTGTCCGCGAATCCTTTAAAAGTTAGCCCTGCGACTGGCGGTTAGTTTATAATTTGCTATAAGTTTTCCACCCCTTTTTTTGTTTGTTTCTAGTTTTTTTTTCTTTTTAGCTAGTTTTTTTTTTTTGGTGGCTTAAAACTGCGTTAACAATGCCACTGGACAAGTTTTTGCCAGGGTGTTGAATTTAATGAGCAGCAAATAAAGTGCCGCAGCAAGTGCCAGATTTGCTAATGACTTTACTTGTTTATTTTTCCTACAGTTTTGCAAAATTACATTTCAATGCAGGTGCAAATTGTAAAATGTAAATGTAAAATTAACCTTTAAGGCTGTATAGCCATATATTAAAGAATTTATATTAACCTGCGCCCGAGCAGGGATTTTTATTGAAATATTTAAAAACATTGTGCTGCATGGAAGTGATGACAGCTTTCATTATTATCAGCGCAATATTATTAACAAAAATGGATTGATAAAATGGCGTCGGGGCAGGGAATTGTTGTAATAATTTGCAGTAAATATATGGAAAAATAACTTTAAAGTGAAATTTTAAGTGCAAAAATAGTCATACATAATATATTTCCCCATACGCAATATAAATACCAAGGCAATGGCGCCTGGGCAGAGGTAAATATGCCAATAATTTAAAAGAAGCATTAAAGAAGACTTAGTAGTAGTTTTCTTAATATTTTTGACCATTTCGAACAGAAATTAATAGAATGGCGCTCAGACAGGCACTTATTTTTTAAAATATGCTGCAAAAATTATATATATTCGACAAACTTCTTTAAAGACATCATCCACACGCAGGTCATAAATATTTAGCATCGAAACGATCAATAACATATTGCTACAATCTGCATGAACCCACACACGCACAACACAATGAGAGTGACAATGACAGGATATTATTCAAGGATATCAACAAATATTACATAGCACTGCCTAAAATGTTGTTTGGGGGTGTGCCGAATACTGCAATTGAACAACTGCGTGTGGCTGCATAAATTAAGCACTTGAATTTACATGGACAGTTGGTTGCAACAACTTGAAAGTTGCCGCAAAGTGAGAGAGGCACACGTACAATTGATTTAAATGCCTATTAGCAAATGCCAAAGACCAATTTAGGAGCATTCCGTTGGTCAGCGCAAGGCAGCTGCCAGCCCGATTTTCGCCTTAAACAAAAACAGAGGCAACCACAAATGCAGCAGCAGTAAATGCAAATGCAAATGCTGTGGCAGGCCACTTTTCTTGGGCTAATTGAAACCCCAAAATGTATTTGAGTGCGGGCTGGGTCTTTAATGAGCGCACAAAAGTGTGCCTTAAATCAATGCGCGTTGGCTTTAAGTGCAATTTGCCACACATATGCCGCATGCCACATGCCACACGCCACTCTTAACTGGCAACTGGCAGCTCTCGACTGTGACTCAGCGCCTGTTTGCTTGGCTTTTTCCAGTTAACAAACAGACGCAGTCGAGCAGCCATCGAGCCATCCATAATAATGATGGCCACAAATGCAGCAGCAGCAGAAGCAGAAACTGCAGCAGCAACAACTACTGTTGCTAAAGTTGCACCAACTGCTGGCAGCATGTGCACAAAAGTTGCATGCCGCACACTCGAGTGTTGAAAAACAAGCGTGGCAAAGTATTTGGCAAACATGAAATAACAATTTGCTCAAGCCAAGAACAAAGCTGTTGTCAACGCAGCCCACACCCAAAAAAAAAAAGGACAAAGTGCAACGAGGGGTGAAAGGGCAACCGCAAAATAAACAAAATAAATACCAAGTCGAGTAGATATTTGTCTAATGCATGTGCTGCCAAAGCCAAAGCCAAATAATCCACACCAAAACGTAACGAAACGTAAACGTAAACGTAACGAATTCCCTGGCAAAAAATAAAAGAATAAGGCAAAATCCATTTGAAATTGTAACAAATGCAAAAATTGTGCATGAGGTGCTAGTGCTGGTGCTGCTGCTGCTGCCTGGCAGAAGGTTCAAGGTGCAGCAAACTCTTGCATAAAATACACAACTGTCTGGCAGATAACAACCCACTCACACACACACTCATACACACATGTGCATATCTGTCGAAGTTGTTGCAGCTGCAACAACACTGATAACGTGCAACAAAACAAAAATGAAGCAGCTGCCTGGTCGAAATAAATGTTGTAGAAAACGATCACAGATACCCACACACACACACACTCCCACACACACATGAGCTAGAAAAGCTGCAATACATTAAACTGGCAACGTGGCGTATGAACAATGCGAAACCTAGAATGCTGTTGTTATTGTTTTTATCGCTGGCTTAAGACATGGGTGCTTATCTTAACGAAAGATGTCATTGCCTCGCCCACAATTGATGCTGTTACAGTTCCCACATCCAACCCAACCCCCTGTCCCCCACTTCCCATTGCCACAGCAGCAAAGACAATAACAACGCGCATCTATTAAATTTCTGTTTAACTCAAGCAAAAACAGAGCTGCATTGTGCGCCTTCTAGCTATGCATCTATTATAAAATAGTTAAGATATAAACGTAACTTGCTTTTAACTCTAGTTTCTGTCTTTATTTCATTGCACAGGCATTATCAAAGGAGACGAAATAATGGTCATCAATGGCGCGATTGTTTCTGATCTAGATATGATGTACTTGGAGAGCGTGCTGCAGGAGGAGCAATCACTCAGCATGATGATGCGGTAAGTTGCGTTAGTCCTTTGTCCTCCTGCCTGTACCTGTCCCTGCTCCTGTCTGTTCATGATTCTGCTTGTCAATTGTCTGCATCTCGCACGTTTCGCAAACATCTGTTGACTTGAATACAAGTTAAGTGCAGAATCCCCAACTCCTCAGCCCGCACACCTTGCCCTGCATTTCTATTTCTATTGACAATACACACATTGCCATTGTCGAATTTCGATATGGTTGCCCATTGTTTAAATAGATATACAGATTAATTAACTATTTTAGCCGCCAGCGAGCAATTGTTCGACTTACAATGCCATTTATCGTCATACTAGTGACTCAGTTGATCAGTTACAATAACCATTGGTTACACTCTCATTGTCCATAGATTAACTATCCATCCTGCAGAGTGTCCATATTAGATGCAGAGCCAACAAAATGGCAGCGAGCTCCGTCAAATTTGTGCTTTATTTTGGAATTAACTTTAATAACAATCAATGTTTAACCTCAGTTAAAGTTGTGTTGAGGAAGCTTTAGCGTTTCATATATTTCAGATGTATATATCTAGTGGAGAGAAAACATAAAACCAGAATGAAAGTAATTGCTGTTAACTATTACTTATACAAATTAAATTACGAACTATGAAACTATGAAAGGAGGGACATTTGTGTTACATGAGCATTTTTTTATAGAGAAAATTTCTCAGAAAAATACTTAATTAAATTTCTGTCAAATAGAATAGCTTTAAGGGTATTTGAAAAAAAAAAACTAGAATATCGTCCATTGCCGCCCAACTAAGCCACATGCATATAATAAATATACTGCATTTTTCTGACAGCTCCGGCGTTGTTATGGCACTCGTAAAATCAATTAATTTTTTCAAATGGGACCTTATATCACTAGTCCGTTGCCTCTTTTTAGCGAACTCATGTTCAGCATATCTATCTTAAATTTTCATATTTAGCTCTCTTGTAAAATTCGACGCCTGCCACCCCAAAATTGTATCTGCTCCCAGTCCCAACCTCTATGGGTGCCCACATGCTCGTTTAATATTAAATACCGCACATATAAAACTTTTAAAATGATGCAAAGAAAAATAAAACAGAAAAACCTCGAAATATGTCAACATTTGACAAGCTTTTGCAAATTTTTGATAAGCAGTTGGCTGAAGCCAACGCATAGACACAACTAGACACACACGCGCACACATAAAAAATTGTTTGGCAACAAATCAAAAATGGGGAAATTTAGCACCAAAAATGGCAGCGACCAACAATTTTGCGAGCTTTCATTATTTCGCTTTTCAATTTTCATGACAAAGTCCAAACAACAAAACTAAAGCCGCAGATGAACAGAAACACGTTGACCACTTCCCTCTATGCAGCAGGAGCAGCAGCTCATGGAGTGGGTATATTGCGGGCAGGGCTAGAGTAAGGGCAGCATAGATTGGGGTAGGGTAGGGTGTATATTTTGGGTGCTTTTTTCGGTGCTTGTTTCGCTTGGCAGCTGCGACGACGACCCCACTACAGTCGCAGTCGCAGACCCAGGCATTTTGATAGCCTAATTAGCTGCTCTTTATAGCCGCATTGGCTTTTGTGCTAAGCGCTTGCGAGGCAACAAACTGTAGCCCATGCCTAGTAAACAACCTGCTCGTTACCCGTACCCCGTGCCCTGCGGAAATCCAATTCAAATTATGCACGTTGGAGAGCATTTTTCCGCATCTTTTGCCACTGACATAGAAAAAGGTCAGCCAGGTGTTTGCTTTAAAAAGCGGCTGCAAAGCAAACCCAACCAGAACGCAAATTTAATAAAAATTTATGTTAATTTGTTTGTTTTACAGCTCCTCACGCACCGAGCCGCCAGATCTAGTAGGCATTATGCGTGTGACGGATGATATGATTGACTCTCTGGTGTGCCCGCCGCCGCCCACAGATCCGCCAGTGATGAGCGAGGAGATGATAACTGGACTGATTGTGCCAGCGCCCGGTTGGAGTAAGTAACCACTAACCCTCCACCCTCCCCCTCTCGTTATGCACAAAGCCGTGTAAATACTTTTGGTCTGACATCAAACTAAAACTGTGCGTGGAATTTATTTTGCTTACGTCGTTTTTCAACATTTAAAAGCCGCAACACAACATTCATCTATGGCTACAACAAAAGCAAAAGCATACTAATCACGCCAGTTGTTCTTGTTGTTGTGGTTAAGGTGCGGCCTGCCCTTCTCGCTCGCTCTCTTTCTCTCACTCTCTATGGGAATGTATGTGTGTGTACTGTGTCGGCAGCAGCGGAAACGTAAAGCGCATTTCCGGGCGCGCATGCGAATTTCTAAAGTTCATTAAAGTAATTTATATTTTTTGTTAAATGCATGTTGCAAGTGCTTCATGCAACATGCAACAGCAACAACAATTACTTCAATAAGTAGCATGCTAAAAGTGTGCGGGAGAAAGAAAGACAGAGAGAATGCGAGAGAGAGAGAGAGAGAGAGAACGAAAAGGGAGCAGTAAACGAAGTTGTGTGTGTGCTGTGTGTGTGTGGCGGGAGTTGCCTGCCTGCTTGCCGCACGCAGTCGTTTCTTTTTACAGCAACAACTACATAATTACAGGATTACAAACTGCACTCACACACACAACCATACACGCACATACACACGCACACACACACACACGCTGCACTGCACTCAAAAAGCCGAAGTGGCTAAGAACACAAAACAATTAAAAACCAACAAACGCAGAAAACAACAACAAGAACAACGGCACCAACAGATGTGTGTGTGTGTGTGTGTGTGTGTGTGTGTGTATTTTATACACAAAATGAAACATTTTTATGCGGCAAACAATTAAAAGGCACAGCAAACTAAAAAAGAATTAAAATAAAATATACACAACAAGAACCTATATATAAAAAACTACTATAAAAAAAGTGAAAAAAAAGATGCAGCAAAAATTAAACGACTCGCATGCAACTGGCACATGTATTACTTGTGTGTGTGCGTTGCGTATTTTGTACCATATTCCCCATTTTGGCACACATATTCGCACACACTCAGTGTGCTGATGAACGGACATTTGTGGCATATGGGTTATGGATATGGCATATGCAACAAAAATCGTTTGCCATTCAACATGAATGGTAGTTGGGAGCCGACGCAGGCTGGGGGTGCAGGGTAGAGCGTATATATAAAAGAAAAAACAAAAAACTGGATTACATTTCACTTTGGCAATTAAACAGAGAAAGCAACTTGGGCAACGGAGCAGCAGCAAGAGGCATGCAGCTTGATGTTGAAGCACTTTCAGCTTATTAAATGCACAATTTGACGAAGACTGCAATCAGAGAAGCGCAAGCTGTAGACATGCACAACATGAGCTGGTCAAGAGTTACACAATTTTTATGCTGTGCAAACCAATTAACGAAAGAGCCACAAGCTTTGCGGAGTAATCGAAACAATTTTAATTATCATATTTTACCCTGTTTATTCACGAGCCATGGCACACAATTAGCTCCCTTTGAAGTGCCTTAAAGTCCCTTGAAGTACTTGGTTCCGAGCAGCTGCATCATCATCTCTGAATAATCCAGTTGCACCATCAATAGTTGTCAAAAAGAAAAGCGTCCCAACTGACACTTGCTCACCTGCCCCTAAAGCATTCGATACTTTTTAACAGCCTCACGTTTTGGCAACGGCTACCAGCTCAGCACGCGCCATAAAGTTGTGCTCCTTGGCCCCACCGAAGAAAAAACATCATAGTTTAAGTAAAGCCACTAAAACTCTAGACTTTATGGGCAATGCACGTTTTCGACTTGGTCGCTTAAATGACCAACAGCAACAACAACTACAACGAACGAACGTCTTATAGTTATTAGCCCAGCCAGTTGTTCTTGCTGTTGTAGTTGCTGCCTAGCTCTGCCTTGGAGCACTACGTGCAATTTGTAAGAAGACCACAAGTTGAAATTTATAAGGCGGCAATTTCAATATCTCACACACACGAACACACACACTAACGCCTAGTGTGGTGTCAAATTTGAAGCAAAATGTTCATAAAATTTGTTGTAACCAATTTGCATGTGGCAGAGCGTGGCCAAGGGGACAGCGGTGGCGGCATTCAAGGACATGATTTTTAAACGCTTCCTGGCGCTGCCAAAACTACCACTACATAAACTGACACACACACACTCACACACACGCACTCACATATTTATAAATATGTATTTATGTACAGGCATACTGCTGCTTACATATGTATACATGCCATGTGTATGGCCCATAAATTTTTTTCTTGTTGGTTAAATCTTTGCCGCGCCAGCATATTAGTGTGTGTGTGTGTGTTGCGTGTCTGCGCCCTCTGCATGCTCCACCTCTACCATGCCCCTTCGCTGTGCCTCTGTTGTGTGGACGTTGTGGCAAACACATAGCAGCAATAATCATTACAGCTTGTTGTGGCTGTTGTTGTTATTCTTGTTGCTGCTGTTTTTGTTTTTGGCTGCTTGGTGGCTGCTGCTGCTGCTGTTGCTGCTGTTCCTGGCTGCCGGCTGCTGGCTGCTGGCAGTATTTTTGTTGTTATTACTTTCAGCTTTGTGCTGGCTGGCTGCGTTGTTTTTGTTGTTGCCTTGTTTCTTATTTTTTCTTTTTTTGTTGCTACTTCCTTTTTTGGGCGCCATTTCCGCAAGTATTAAATTCCTGCTGCTTTTTATTGCGCAAACATGGAATTTAAAATTAACAAACAAGCTGCAACAACATAAATAAAATGCTTAATCGAACTTTAAAACTGGCCCCCCGCTAACAGCAGCAGCAACAACAACAACAACAACAATAAAACTGCAAGCAGACTATTACCCAGAGGCAACTGGCAACTAATTATGGGGCAGACAAAAACTAATAATAATAAACATAACTAACGGTTATCCAACAAATACATTCCTTTACTCTAGATGGAACTGGCAAGGATTTGTATTCACCTGAGGCGGAAAGCTCGCCGGCGCCCTCATTTGTGGAGCCAACTGTGGCGCAATTGGCAGTTGGCGCAGGCGGCGGAGTCTCGGCATTGGGCGTGGCCAAGCCAACATCGCGCACCAGCAGCTTTGAAATTGAGAATCTGCTAAAGACCGCGGAACAAGTAAGTGCCGAGTACTCAGCCTGTCCCCTTTTTTCGCTCTGTCTCTTTCTGTATAATATATAAACATGACCAAGAAAAAACAAAACGCAAACACGTTAAACCCGTCTGCCCTGAAACCCGAAAAAAAAAAATAAACAAAAAATAATACCCTGGCCCCTAGACCTGACATCCAAGAACATTCAAACCCGGCGCTGGGAACGGAACTTGGCACTTGGCTGACACCGGCTAAGGCAGCGGGCAAAGTCAGTTCCAATTGCTTTGAACTCGCTGAGCGGAAACGGAAACTATTAAAACGAGCGCCAAACACGAGGCGGCAACGCATGGCGTGTGGTTTGAGCTTCGGCTTGGGGTTTGTGCACTTCTGATTGAAATGTGCACAAATTGAAATTTGCTAAAGCCATGAGACGACGGTGGACTGAGGACTTCATATGGGGCGGTTATGGTTTGGTAAGCAGCTGCGGGTCTCTGGGCGGGCCTTTAGATGCAGCTGGCTGTCAGTAGCTGGTTGACGCTCAAGATGTCGTGCCACAAATTTGGCCTATTGGGTCTTGTTGCTTGCAAGTCACCAAACAATAAACGTCACAAATAGAAATGTGCTGGCATAAAAATATCAAGGATATATACACAACAACAGCTATGAACGACAGGCGACAGAGAAAGAGAGAAAGCGACAGCGAGAGCCTGAGCGAGAGCGAGTGAAGCGACAAGAGACAAGAGAAAGAAACGCAAAGACGCCACAGAATGCACTTTGTTTCTGGATATGCTTTACCCAAGTGTGCTCGAAACTGGCAGAAACCCACTTCATTTAATGATACTTGAACACTGTGACACACAAACACACTGAGGCCGAACCACACACACACACACACACACACACACACACACATGCACATACCCAGACACACGCACACACATGCAACTGCCAGGCGAGACAGCAACTGGAGAGTCAGGGCGTTACATAAGAATCCTTTTAATTCAAGTTGACATTTCGCACAGCAGCAGCAGCAGCAGCAGCAGCAGCGGCAGCGGCGGCTGCAGCTCACCAAGAAATTCAAGAAATTTTCAAATTTTTCATCTTTGGGGCATGACGCCAGCAGCAACTGCAGCTGCAGCAGCAACAACAATGTTGGCACTCAGCAGCTGGCCCATAAGCTGCCTCAGCCGCTCACCTGGCACTAAACCCACGCCATGCCAGCCAGCACCCCAGCAGCACTCCACCACGCCCCGACCGCCCATGGACCCTTTGTGTCTTACTCTTTGTTGGTTTTGGGTCGCTGCCGACGCCGCTTATGCAAATCAGCGACGCAGCCGTCGACGTTGCAACTGAAAGAAATGCAGAACAATAAAACAGTTAAAAGTAGACAAGAACAAGCTGCACAACAACAGCAAAAAAGAAACGCCAAGAGAGAGAGAGAGAGAGAGCGGGAGAGAGAAGGAAATAATAATACACAAAGTGCAACTGCATAAAAGTGAAATGTCTTCCACAATGCCAACGAGCAACAACAACAACAAAAACAACAACAAGAACAATTCAACTGAATGTTGCACGAACAATGACAACTGAAATTTCATGAGATTGTTGTTGCAACTACATGGCAAAGTCTTCAAGTGTGCCTCTGCGTGTCTTTGTGTGTGTGTGTGTGTGTGTGGTGTGTGTGTTTGTAGGGATGAAAACGTGACAAGACTGTCAGTCACGACAAAAAAGTTCAACTAAAAATCTATATGCAAGATAGGTTTCCAGCCATAATTTGCGTTAAAACAAAAATTGTCTAAGACATATATAAATCTGCCATAAAATGTGGCTGCAGTTTGAACAATATATGGCGCCAGCTATAAAAATACACAAGTGACAAATAAAATTAGACCATCAGTTAATTTGTAACTTCTCAAGGCAAATGCAAATTTGCATATTAATTAACTGAACTCTGTCTATGGATAGATAAGGCTAACTTTAAATATTCACAACCAAGCAGTTTCAGCAAAACTTACAGTTATTTACTAGCTTCCGGCTGTTTATTTTCATTTGAAACAGCAGTTGGAAAAATGTTTTCATAAGCTGCATTTCCGGCTGTTTAGCTTAAGCGTGACCCAACAGATGGCGCCAGCAACCAATACACACTGCAGTTGAAACAATTTTTTATTCTTTGCATATAGAATGAATACAATTTGTAGTTTTATAGAAATTCTTAAGGAAATTCCGATGAAAGAAAAGCTACAATTCGGTATATTGCGAATTTAATTATTGAGCATTTAACTTTGGCTGCCATCTGCTTGAAACTGATATTAAATTTCAATTGTATTTAAATAAATTTCTCAGATGTCTTGAAGTGTAAAATAGCGCCCACTTAAGCCTTTGTCGCAATCACGCTGTCATCGCCAGTGGCCACCCGTTCCTTGAAGAACAACACGCATTTTGAGCGCTGTCAAGTACAGTGGTAAGGCTTATGCGCCAGCTCTCAATCCCTGTCTCTGTCAGTGTTTGTGTCTGTGTCTGTGTCTATCTCTTTGCTGTTTACCGCTCTGTTGATTTAAACTTTGACCTTTTGCAAATTGCACAGCACACAAATACACACACACACAAGCCCAGGCACAGTAAGGCGTAAAAAAATATTTGTTTAGGCATTTACAATGCAAATTCGTTCAATATTTTGCTGGGCGTGGCAAGTCAATTTAATTCAGTTCCGGTCAACGCGCCATTTAACACTTTTGCCTGAGCCAGAAAACAGCAACAACAAACTAGGTATAATAACAGAAGTTAAACCAAAAAAATAAAAAAAACAAGTAAACAAAATAAATATGAAGAAGACTTAAACAAAAATGAAAAGCCGAGAGACCTAAAACCACTGTGCAAGTGACATAAGAAGGCTGAAGATTTGCGCACCTCTACACTTTATGCAAAATGCGGTTGTGTGGTTAACTCTATGAGTGTGTGTGTGTGTGTGGGGGGGTGTGTGGGTGTGCGCGCGTATTTGTCTGGTATAGTTGTATGCACACACGCTCTATGTCAACCGTCAAGCGTCAACTGTCAGTGCCAAATGTGCTTGTAACCGCACACAAACACCAACACCAGCAGCAGGAACAGCAGCAGAAGCAGCAACAACTTTGGCGAGGACAAAACACAACAACGAGAACAACTACAACAAGCAATGGACGCCCCCAACTTGGACTTACGACAAGGACGTGACAGTCATTTAGAACCGCAGCTGACGTCGTCGACGCTGGGGCTACGTTTATGTCTGTCTGTTTAAAGTGGCCGCCGCGAGTTCCACAATAAAACCAACCCCGAACCAGAGCAGCAGCCGAACGAGCCATGCCAACAGTTTGACCCAGGACACAGTCCCCTGACCCGCTGCCACACCCAACGTCTAACGCCCACCGACCCACCGACCCACCGACCAACCGCCCACCTACTCCAATGTCCTGTTCTTAACTATCGCTGTCTATCTATCTCTGTCATGCTAACTTCATTTTTGTTTATTGTCATTTATTTTTGGTGTCTCTTTTTTGTGTGGTCGCTTCGCTCGTTTTCGTTTCGTTTCTTTCGTTTCACGATCCTCATCATGCAACAACAACAACAACAACAACAACTACTACTACTACAACTACAATAACAACAATAAAAACAACAACAACAAACACAACAACACAACACAATCAACAAACAACAACAAACCAACCCAACTGAACCCTGACCTGTTAAGGTTACCGGATTTTGTCGTTCACCTCAGGAAACGCGCAAATCGAGCCCCACGGGTTCAGTCACATCGTCGGTCTCGACCACAGCGCTGACACCGTCGCGCCAACTGACCGATGCCGAGAAACTGCGCAAAGTCATCATGGAGCTGGTGGACACGGAGCGCACCTACGTTAAGGTGAGTACCAGAGTCACAGACCCCATGCTCACACTCTATTCAATTTGTTGCCAAACTTTTGTATGCACTTGCTTCAGGTATTTGCAATTTGTCATTGAGCATGTAACGCACTGAGGTAGTTATTAAAGGAATATGTATAGATCAGGGCTTAATTTCCGGGTGTTAAAGTAAACCTCGCTTTGGAATATATATTTTTTTACTTTTAACTTTAAATGAAACAGTAAAATTGTAAATAGACAATCGCCCATTGTACGGAGAATATTGCTAACCATAAATATTCTCATATGCTATATGCGGGCTAAAATTTAAATAAATTTAAGTTGGCAACTATTTAGATAAATGCCAAACATGTTTATACTTTGGAGCAGATTCTGCCCCATTAGTTTTTTACTTTGAATCTGTTTATCTATTTTTCTACTTTACGTATTACTACTTTACTTTAGAGTGCACCTAGCACAACAATCTGCTGCAAGTAACTATCCAGGGTATTTAGACTTCTTGAAAGCAAAGATAACGTTACTTGCTTGCTGTCCTTGTTGGCCAACATTACACATTCCATTCATTAGTCCTGGCTTGCAATTAAAAATGCAAATTTTAATCCTTTAACCATGCGGCTATGTTTCTGGCTTTAAGCCATGGCCGCCCGAGTTGGCCAGGAAGCATACAAATAATTATTATAATTTAGAAATTATGTAAAGCGCCGCGCCGCTGCCGCAACGTTGGCGAGTCTTATCTCTGGCTGTAACCCAACTGCCCACTCCACCCTCGCCCCCTCCAGTCTACTCCACCCTCTCTCTATCCGCTGGCCGGAAGTATTGTTCCAAATGAAAGCGCGCGCCTGCGGCTATGCTACAGTTTTTTTCGCCCATATTTTTATTTACTTTTTTTCTTCTGCCTTTCTGCGTTGTTGTTGGCAAACTAAAAAGTTGTTCTGGTAGCTACCAGAGCACCAGGAACTGGTCACCAGCTCATCCCAACTGGGAGCACGTTGGATGGGAGCCACAGGACTGCTGTTGTGGGCAGTTGTCGTTTTTGGGCGACTGCTGCTGATTTTTTAATTTAATTTATGCATCTTGTTTTTTGTTGTTGCCTTCCTTCTCATTTTTCATTTTTTATGTGTCAACAAATTTGAATTTATTGAACAACAACAACAACGACAACAACCACGTTTGAATTATTTTCGTATGCAGCACTTGAACAATCTGCTGGAGCATTATCTGGAGCCCATGAAACGCGAAACGTTTCTATCGAATGCGGAAATTAATGCGCTCTTCGGCAACATACACGAGATTGTTACATTCCAACGCCAGTTCCTGCAGAATCTCGAGGAGGCCCTCGAACTTGAGCCGGAATTCAATAAATTCGAACACTGCGGTCAGTTTAGGGTAAGTTCCAGTGCGAGTTCCCTTCGGAGCTCCTGCAAGTGCGTGACTTGCCTGTCTAATTGCAGTTTTAAATTTTTTTTTTATATATATTCGTTATGTTTAATATGTGTGTCTTTTCTTTATTGTTGCAGAACGTCTTGTTTGCAATCGGCTCGGCTTTTCTCTATTATGTCAATCACTTCAAGTTGTACTCCTCGTTCTGTGCCAGCCACAGCAAGGCACAAAAGGTTTTGCATCCAAGTAAGTACATATATCAATGATCTATACATTTCATTTAGTTGCCTAACAGACCAAGCTTTTTGTCAAAACTGAATTGATTTCCATTCAAAAAGGTATTACAATTAAGTTAGCTTTGAAATTTCATGGACTATTTCTACTCAAATGAAAGCCCAGAGAAAAAATATGAATTCTGTTGTATTTTTGTATTTTTTGTCTGTATTTTTAAAATACAATTTAACAGTTTTTTTTGCTAGTTTTTGGTACAATTTCATTTGATTGCTCATACGCCTCGTAGTCAGCTATAAAAAATTGCAGCCTACTTGTATGTTGTTTTGTATAAAAATTTGCATCGGATAAAATTTAAAACCAAAACGAACGCAACGGAAAGACAAATTTGTGGACGTGTCGTGTGAGAAACCAAAAGAAAAGTGTTTGACATATGCATAAATACATATATTATGAACCATTTCTATGAATGTGTATGTGTGTGTGGGTGTGTGGGTCTGTGTGTGTGTGCTTGGTGTGAGCTCAAGTATTGCAATCAGCGTGAAGCGTCAAAGTCTATTTGAGTTTGAAGTTTGATGCGAGTGTGTGCGTGGCTCGGGGAGCGCAGGGGATGGATTGTTCGTGAAAGTTGTAAAAGTCAAACAAGCGACAAGTTACGAACAATTGGCAAACTATGCGCTTCAATTGTTGTCTGCGGCTGCCGCAACCCACGCACACAACGCGCCTCCGCGCCTTTAAATGATTTGCAAGTTAAATGAATAATTACAACCGCAAATGCAAAGATACGAGGCGCAGGCGCGGCAAGGCGTGGCATATTCATATTCATGCCATGCCATGCCATGCCAGCAGCAGCAACCGAAGCTGTCAAGTATCTTTTGTTAATTAAACTTGTGGAATTATGACACGTTTGCAAATGGGCAAAGCGCAGGGCTGCCAAAAACTATGTCGCGCTGTTGCCACTGGCAGTGTCCCCATGAAAGGCAGCTGGAGCAGCAGCTGCGACACGGGAATAGGCAAAAAAGTGCAGACTAGAGAGACCTGCAGACTCCAGACTCTGGCTTAGGCGACAACATGTCATAATTAAATTAGACTTAGTGGCAGCTTAAAAACACCCGAGCAAACACAAGTGCCACAAATGAGAAACGGATGGAAAAGAGAGCAAACAAGAGCGTACTAGATATGCCTGGGTATGCCGCAGTCGAAATACCCTTGTTAACCCTGTTAAAGTAATCAGATTTTTAATAGAATTTTTTATATTTAGACAGCTTTGTAATGGGGCTTTCTCACAACAAGCTCGTATGAAAGGGCTATATGATTGATATAAAAAAAATGTATATTTCACTCTAAAATTTAATTTGTTATACATTATTTTATTATATACAGTATGATACCTAACAGCTCTTCGTGAAGATAATTTCACAGTTAGAGATATATTAAGATGACAAAGTGATCCAAAAACTCTGGGATATACTTATGTATGTCTGTCTTCTTTAATATAGAATACTTGACAGTATATAATACCCTCTGCAAGTAGCAATAAGAGCGAAAGTGAGTGTTGTAGATGTTGTAAAGCTTTACAATTTCATAACAAAGTACTAGCTGATTAATGACAACAGCAGCAAAACGTCGAGGTACAAATTTGCAATATTTGCAATCAATGGCAGTCAAAGCTGCTGCCAAGAGCAAGCAGGAGCAGCAACAGCTGGAGCAGGAGCAGAAGCTGAAGCACAGTGTGTCAACTTAAGTTTCAGCTTTAGCTACGGCAGATACTCGAGCTGCTGCTGCTGCTGTTGCGCTTGGCTGTTGCATGCAATTTTATGCAAAAAGTTGAAAGGATAATTAATTATAGCAAGAAGTGCACTTAAGTGCCTTCGTTACAAGCAGGCAAGCAGGCAGGCTGGCAGGCTGGCAGGCTGGCTGGCAAAAGCAGGAGTAGGTGCCTAGGATGGGAGAGGGAGGAAAAGAGAAAGCAGCCATTAGACGTAAATCCGTGCAGCAGACAGGCTTTGACTATGGCCTTTATCAAAGCTTCTCAGCTGACTATAAGAACAAGTTAATGACATTTTCTTGTCAACGTTGCGCACGTGTAGCCTGTCCCTGTGTCACCTGCCCTGGCCCTGGTTCGGAACAACGTTTGCAATTAATGGGAATTGAAGCGTGCACTAAAATCAAATCATTTGCCAAATTTGTCTCAATTTCTGCAATTGTTAAACGTCTCAATTCTCTCATTTGCTGCAGACGAGGGCAACCATGCACTGCAGGAGTTCCTTGCCGCTCGCAATCCCAAGCAGCAGCACAGTAGCACCTTGGAATCGTATCTGATCAAGCCGATACAGCGCATACTCAAGTATCCACTGCTCCTGCAGCAGATGCGTAATCTAACAGATACGCGCGCCGACGAGCACGTGCATCTCTGCGGTAAGTATGGCGAGCTGCCACACCCGCCCCAGCACACAATTGGCAATCTTGCAAACCATTCGTTTAACCCAACAGAGGCGCTCAAGGGCATGGAGAAGGTGGCGGAGCACATAAATGAAATGCAACGCATCCATGAGGAATACGGCGCAATATTTGATCATCTATTCCGGCAGCATCAGAAGTCATGCAAGCAGCCAATCGATTTGAGTCCAGGTGGGTTACAGCAAAAGCATTCAATAGCTACATCAGCTTCAAATGCCAATGCAAATGCTCCTCCCCCGCAATGCTGCGCATTCCCAGGCGATTTGCTCTACTATGGCGGCGTTGAGTGGCTGAACATTTCCGATTTTCTGGGCAAGATCAAGAAAGGCCTGGAACTGCATGCCATGTGTTTTGTATTCAAATCGGCGGTTGTGTTTCTCTGTAAAGAGCGTTTGCGTCAAAAGAAGAAGCTAATGGTAAGTGAATAGCCACGAATAATTAGCCCGTCTCCTGTCCAATCTCATGCTCGCTATCGCACACAGGGCGTCTCAAGCAAGAATGCACCAAATGAGGTCGAAATTATACGATATCAGGTGCTGATACCCGTCACCGAGGTGCAGGTGCGCGCCAGCTCTGCCAAGGACATGGATTCGCACTTCCTCTGGGAGCTAATACACTTGCGCTCGCAGCTGCAGCGCCGCTCTGAGAAGGTCTATGTGCTGTCCAATAGCACCGCCGATTTTCGCAATGCATTCCTCAAGACGATCAGGCAAATAATACGCGAGAGCGTGCGGAACATGTCAATTCCCATGAAAAACTTTGGCGGCAGCTCGGGTTCCGTTTCGGGTCTCTCCTCCCAGCTGGGCGGCTATGCGGGCAACTCGCAAACGCTGGAGCGGCCCAAGCAGCAGGTAACTGACTAACTAGCAGCTGCCTATAATACCCAATCTCTGCCAGCTGCTGAACTTCCTGGTTTTCTCAGATCACCATCGTTCATGGTTCTCATACGCTGGGCAAGCCAAAGAAGAAGTCCGGCTCACAACGTCATTCGGCCGGCAATATTGACTACGACAATCTGTCGGGCAGCCAGGAGGGCGATGAGCTGCCGCCAAATATGGCCGGTGTCGTGCACTATGTGCCACTCTCACACGCACAGCAACTGCAGCAACCAGGCGGCTTTCGCAGTCGCAGCAAGACGCTGGGCGATGTGACAGGTGAGTTTGAGCTGCATTCGATTGCGGGCGTGTCACGTGCCTGGCAAATAACGCTAATCACACACAAACACACACATCATTGCATCGCTTCATGCTTCATAAAGAAATCATTTACACCTCCATAGATCCGCAACAGACACAACAGCCGCAACCGCAGCAGCAGCAGCAACAGCAGCAGCAGCAGCAGCAACTTGTGCAACAGTCGGTGGCGCCGCATCCACATCCGCATCCACGCGAGCCACCGCCGCCGCCCATAAGGCAGCCGCATTTGCATCATCACAGCAGCGACATTGAACGCATCGATCCGGGCACCAAATCGGAGGGCGAGGAGGATTCACAGCAGGGCACAATCAGGCCCAAGGCTACGCTGGGCCGCACGCCCAATCACCTGACGCTCAGGTAAGTCCCAAAGCTCACGCTCAGTTGCCTATGCTCGACCCTAGCTAGTTATTTGACAGCTAGCTATAAAATATAATTGAAAAAATAAAATGAAAGCCCGAAAGCTTGCAATAATTGTAACAGCTGCAAAACTGAAAGTTTGGTTATTTCGAATAATTAGCAGGGCTGTAAACTCATCAATAATGCCCTTAGGCTCGATTCAGGAAACTGGTTTTCACGTTCGTGAGCCCAGCCTTTGCTTTTATTCATAGTAAAAATATATTCGAATTCCGCGTTAGAGCCAGAGTTCAGTTCAAACTTGGTTTACAGACATGCCAACTAATAACGTTGTTCTGTTAGCCGAGTTGGAATCTAGCTTAATAGGTAGTTAGTTATATTAACTGTTAGTTATTTAATTTGAAATCCTCGTAAGGCTCGTTTATTGCTTGACTTATTGCTATTTTTCTTTCTCTCTCTCTCTCTCTGTCATTTTATCATATAGCACCACATCGACGCTCTCGGTGGGCAGCACTGGCAGCCAGGCGCGCTTGATACAATCATCGCATCCGCCAGCCAGCTATCAGCCGGTGCTTATGAAGGATCTAGGTAAGAGCAGCCTAGATATAGTTGCCGGCGAATCCGAGCACGAGTCGGAATCCGAGGCGCATGCCGCACACGTGGCAGCCACGTTTAATTTAAGCCTAGGCAGTAGTGGTAGCTTTTTTGCAGCAACAGTCAGTAGCGATACGAATCCGAATCCGACTTTGACCCAGACACTGACCCAAACTCAGAGCCAGACCATGAGACATTTGTCGCCGCGACAGTCGCCGCGTCAGTCGCCCAAGCAGGAGATCGAGGTGATTGAGATCTTTGAAAGCGAATCGGAGCGTTTGGCCGCCTCCCAGCAGGTAGCCGTGGTGCATCAGCATCCCAGGGGCGCAGCGGAGTCGCAGCACAAGCGTCGCGAACGTGATGCCAACAACGGCTCAGTCACTGGCCATGTGACCGAATCAGATGCCACTACGCGTTTCATGGACAAGCATCTGTGCGAGCTGGAGCAAGAGGATCTGGCAGCGGGCATCTGTGACATAGCCGCCTACATGGCCAACTTGCGCGAGAAGGCCTTTGAGCCAGCGGATGCCGGTGAGGAGGCTGCTGATCAGCAGCAAAATGACTCCAGCCTCTCGCCCGAGCCACAGACCATTGTGGAGAATACACAGCAGATCGTGACCGTAGATATTGAGTCGCCGTCGAGTCGACCTGCCACCGAATCGGACAGCACTGGCGGCAACACAACTGGACCATCGGAGCGGTCCGGCGATGAGACCGAGGATGAGCCAACCAGTTCGCTAGCCTCGCACATTGTTGTCATCGACAAGAAGGTGGACAAGGTATTCAAGGCCAAGTCTCCAGAGCGAGCGACTGCTGCGGCCGGCGCCAAGCCGAAAAGCGGCAAGCGTCAGAGCATCTACATTTCGCCAGATCGCTGCAAATCCCAGGGCAGCTCCCCGGTGCGCATCATTAAGATAAAATCGCCGCGTAACAGCGTCAGCGATCAGGGCAAACGTTTGAGCATCTGCTCCAGTCGCGAGAACTCGCAGGATCGCCTCTCCGGCGGACGGCGCACGCCCAGTCCGCGTCGCAGCTCTGAGGGTGGCGGCGGTATCTTGAAGCACACAAGTCCTAGCGCGGGCATACTGAAGCCACCGGCTAGCCCGGCCAAGTCAAAGAGTCCTGATCGCAGCTGCCTGAAGAAGGGCGGCGCCTCGCATGTATGTGCAATGGAGCCAACAACCACCACGTTGTCGCCACGCATCTCGCCTCGTGGCAGTGTGGATCATTTGTCGCCGGACCGCGCCAGCATTTGCCAGCGCCATTCGCCGCGCAGCAGCTTCGATAGCCACGGCGGCTCCGATCATAATCTGGATGTGCCCTACGGCGGCGGCGGCGGCTCACGGAAGCGCAGCATGTCTGCCCATGGCAGCTTTGAGACGGGCAACAAGCCGCACGCCCAGGAGACATATCAGTATTATCCGGTTTATGACAATCAAACTTGCAGCGATCATTATGTGGCTGCCGCGCCCACCACAAGCAGATATGGCTCCGGGAATGGACGCAGTCGACTAAGCAAATCCCTAGAGCGGTCCACCTCGCGTGACAGCACCACCACGAGCAGCTCCTATCGCCCCTATGGCGTCTCGCCCGAACGCAACTATGTCGTCTATAGCTCTGGTCCGCTGCGCTCTCAGTCGGCGGAGAATACATTCTCGCAGCCCATCTATGATGCGCTGCCCAGGCAGGCGCCTCAGCAATATATGCCCATGGTTAGCTATATGCAGGATATGGATATGGGCTATGGACAGCCGCCGCCTAGCTGCCCGCATGATCCGGCCCAGCAGGCGGTCTATCAGCTGAGCTCCTCGGCGCCCGAATACACCACATGCATTGACTGTCTGTACCAGAAGCGACCCTCCTAGCATAAGCCCCGCGTGCGGCAAAGTCGCACGCGGAAGAAGACGCCACGCGGCCTAAGCGGGATGCCCGGCATGGTGGTTAGCACACAGCCCACAGCCAGCGGCGGCATTGGCTACATGCCCGACATGGGCAGCGATCAGGCAGGCGGATGTGTTGATTGCCATGATTATTTCGAAATACACGTCTAAAGACGTACCAACTGACAAAAGACCCCATGAAAAAAATAGGGGGAATTAAGAGTGAGGGAGAGACACAAAAACAGGGATTTTATGAGATCTATTAAATATACGAGTAGTTGAATTAAAACTCATTACAAAAGCGCAACCAAAGATAACATAAAACAACAACAACAGCAACCCAGAATGCCTCAAGAATTTTACAAAAACTATAAACAAAATGGAAATATAACCGCTCAGCTCTACAAAGATACTAACATATACGTAAACTCCAATGCAAACTATATAAAAACGTTAATCAAAACTTGAACACAAGGGATTGAAAACAAATACTTATACGCAGCACACACACACACGCATAGCACACACACAACACACACACACGCACAACAGGACAGTTAAGAGTCATGTTTAAGTGTTAGATTAAGCTCTTGGTATAGCTTTTAGGAACACTCAACTACATCTTCAGAGCACAACTTTTTTTTTTTTGTGGGGTGCGGCGGGTTCTAAAAAGTTGCAGCTGCAATTTGTGGCCGTGCCCCCTGGCGCCTCCCCCCTGGGTGAGTGTGTGTGTGTGTGCTTGGCACATCAGGTTAATTATTTTGGTTTTAGAGAGAAAAACAAATTTTGGGGCGTTATTTTTAAGGCTATGATTTACACAAAATGGCGGAAGTTCTGCATGCTGCGTGCGGCATTACGTATACGCACATGACGCATACGCCGCGTTGCACACAATGCTCAAGTGGCGTAATTACGACTAAAAACTAAAGTTGAAATTCATACTCGCACTCAAGTAAACTAAGAGACATACATGCCCAACTTACTAACAACCACACACATGCACACACATGCACACGCACACGCACAAGCACACGCACACGTACACGTACACTACGGCAAAAAATAGGTACTTATATATAGGATAAAAGTTGTAAGTAATGCCAGTCGTTCCAACTATTAGCTGTGCAAACTGTGTCACTGGCATTTCCGGAATCGTAAGAAAAAGTTTTTAATTACACGGCTCGCAAGATTGAAAATGATTGCAGCTGCTCCGGGGTGCAAAATACTCGTGTGTATTTTAGTTTAAGTCTAAGTGAATAATGCGGGTTGGCAACATTCTATAGGTTAACATTATACATACTACCTAAAAAAAAAATACAAAACAAAAAACAGGATAAAAAAAAACAAAAATGAATATTTACATAGTTAGCTAGCGAAAAACAAAATATGTCAAAAAATATGTGTGGGTGTTGTGACAAATAATTTTGCATTAATTAATAACAAAACATTTTCGAGATTTTTATTTATCAATCATAAAATTGCATATGCAAATCACGTACATTTTTTCATAGGCAAATATTGATTTACAATAAAAAAAAAAAAAAAAAAACAGAAGCAAAAACAAAAAACAATAAATACCAAATGAAATAAATGTATTGAAGAATGATAATCGTAAGTCGTACCTCAATGTTCAGTATTAAATAAATTCAACAGAAAATGCATATAGGCATATTATATAAATCGATTATACATACACTTAATTAGGGCAGGCAGGTGTGAACACTAACCTAATGCATACCCAGAGATCTTCCAATTTTAAAAGCAAAGCCCTAAGTAGCCCGGATTCCATCCTCCTATTCAATCCATTCGTTCGACTTGCCTCGCTCTCATATACACACTCATACGTAGACTAAGTTTGGGTGTCTATTAACTGCAGGCATATATTACACATAGAGAGACCCAAGACGGACTTAAAGATCAAATGTCAGGTTGTTCAAGCTATATTCAAAATAGTCAAAATAATTCTTAAGATATCTACAATACAAAAAGAAACGTTTACAGTTTACACTGGGCTTCACAGCAGCAAAATCAAAAACTACAAATTTAAAAGAATGGAAAACCAATCAAATCAAAATATATACGAAATACAATTAATAAGGCAAATGACAACATATACTAACTATATACAATACATCAATTTACATGGCTACATAAATAATAAATTTAAATAAAAATAAAAAATAAATTAAATGAAAACCACAAGCAAACACAATACGTATTTAAAAATGGAAAACTAATACAACTAATAAGCAAATAATCGCGCAAACACTTTAATCACAAAATCAATTTAAAATTTCATTGTTGCATATATGCCAAAAACTCCAATATAAATGTATACCACTAAATAAATAATCAAACCAAATATAATCAAGAGCGCTAAAATCAACAGCAACAAGAAGAAGAAGTTGAAAAAAAAACAGACAGCAAATAAAATGATAATTAAGCTCACAAAATTTAAATAACGTATATTGAAAAGTAAACAAACAGAATAGCTAATTAAACAACAATTCAAATTAATGTCAACGAGCTCTTTGGACAGCGACAAAATGACAGTAATCGATGCAGAACCCTCTAAGACCCGCTCCCGCTCCCGTCCCAGCCCCTCAACACCCGCCCCGTGAAGGACAGCCACAGAACCGTATCGTATCGTATCGTATGTTTTAGGCGCCCAAAAATATATTAGTTGCAAATTGATTTTAGTTGATTTAGTCAAGTTAGCAGGTAAGTGCGTATTTTCCTTTTGTAAATTAGTAACAAATTATTAATTATATTGAATTAGCAGTTAAACAATTTAACGGGTGATATTTAATTTTGTTATTGCAAATTATCTTCAAGATAAATAAAAATAATAAAATGCAAAAAAAGTTAATAATATCAAATGAATTAAACACAATGCAACTCGTAACACAATCTCCTATTAATTTATGCCAAAATATGTTTATCTATTTATAAGAAATAAACATTTAAGTATGTTCGAAGGTTGTGTGCGTAAGCCCCACACAGATACATCTGCATCCATGGCCAAAGCCAGTTAGTACAGTGTGTATCTGTTGTATCTGTTGCAAGCACTTGATAGCTAATAAAAACAACTAAAAACAACAACACAAACAACAACAAGAATAACAAGATTATCTAAGTATATTTAGTTGGCATCGCTTGATTAATTAATAATAATAAATAAAATTTTATTGAAAATGAAATTTTGGCGGCGATTTTGCAAGTTCTTTCCATCAAACATTTTCGTCATTTCAATAATAATCTGTTTTGCATTTTCTAATTATCTAAAAACAAACAATAAAACCAACAGCAACTAATAGTTAAATAAAGCAAACCAACTGTGCCAGATTAACGTAAACTCTTTAATTGCTATGATTATATTTATGATAAATTAGTGCCAATGGAAAACTAAAGCATTAATTAAAATACGCAATAACATATATATATATATATATATATTTAATCGAAATATTTATACAAATGTCTTATGGTTACACACACGTGTCCCCACAACCAACTAAAAACCAAGCAACAAACTCCATGTAAACACTTACCCCTTCTCTCTCTCTCTCTCGCTCTTCAATCTTATTAAAGAAAAAAAAAAAAGCAAAAATTTTATTTCGCTTCTCGTATAACTTTTTGCATTGCATTTTTGTGTAACTCATACCTCGAAAAGCACATCTTTTTTTAATCACGGCAAATAATATTCCAAAAATTGTAAACTTTATTCCAAATTATTTTCGGAAATCAGCTAAAAGTTGTTTATTGCAATGAAGGCGTGGCAATTATTTTCATCTAATTGGCCGACAAATTAAAGTACTTTTGGCATATGTTTTAGATATTCAAACATTTTCAACATGCACTCATTTGAACTCAAAGTGTTTTTCGATTTTATAGGAACAATCACGATATTGACCATATTTTAATTCCATTTCCTTTTTGTACTGAACACGAAACATACAAAAATGTTGGCATAAAATGCAAAACTAATAATATTAATAACAAATCATTCGAAATTTTGTACAATCTCTGAAAAAAATAGATTAGCTTGAAGTAACGAAAAAAAAAATATAGAAAAGAAAGCAAGAAATATGAGAAAAACCAAGCGATGTCAACATTTTAAACCAACAGAACTAAACTTTTATCCCAAACTGTTTTAATTCCCTACACAAATATCAAAAATTTAAATTTATACAAATTCTAAATTAGTTCTTTTTAGTCTAGCTGTTTAAACTGCTCGAAGCCACAATTACCCCTCCTCCTACTACTCCGCCTTCCCGTCCACCCCATATTAAGTAGCAAAAGCAGCGTTAAAGTAGTGCTCATTATGCATTTAAAAGAAATATAATTAGTTTTGCTTATATTTTATTTAAGCTAAAAGAGAACGTTGAAAGTATTTGCTTTGACCAAGTACTTTGAACGGTTTGCGTTGCATGTTTTATAAGTAATTATCTGAATCTAAAGACTACAATTGGCTAACTCCTAAATAAACCAAAACTAAATGTACACCAAATTATATATTTAAACAAAATGGAGTGCTTTTCTCTGCTACTCTCTATACTGCTACAAGTTAAGTTCTGGATTTTTGTTTGACCGCAAAAGAATGAAGAAAGCAAACAAAAATAATAGAACGAGAATACGAAAATTTCATATTTTTTCATATATGGTTTCCATTGTATCTTTTCCTTTCTTTCATTTAATTGTAGGGTCCCCGGTGTGGAAACCACGAGACATGATAAATTTAGGCACAGATCCACAGTCAACAACCCGCAAAGACGATGTGAAAAATTAAATCAGAAAAAGCAAAACAATACATTTAGTATGAAGTTAAGCAAACATAAGAACTCTTAAATAAATTCTTTTGTTACAATTTTAACTAATCAAGTGTAAGAAACAACGGCAACAGTTCAATCAAAGAACACAACACACAGAAACAATACGAACTAACACTTTTCCACCCTCCCCCAAAATCCCCAATCAAGCAACTTGCAAAAAAAAAAAAAAAACAAAAAGAATAAAAATAAAATCCAAAATAAAACTTTATTTATTATTAACTAATTAATACTGAAACAAGTGTGTCAAAATGTTAAAGTTGCTTTTGAAAAAGTGAATAGTCTCGAATTGTTTTTAAGCATAAAAAACATCGAATGAAAGATAAAACAAAATATGATAGAAAAAAAAAACAAGTTTGTTGTTTTTTGTTTACGTTTTTAATGAGAGCGAAAAGATGCTAACTAGCACATCTTTTTTAAAAAGAAGACTTTGATTTATAATATCGATTGTATTGAATGTGCAAAACATATAATAAACGTATAATTATAGCAAAGGATTTTGAACAAATTTAATAAGGATTAAATAAATTAATTAATTAAAAAACAGAAAATGTGAACAAATTCAAATGCATTTGTCGCTGGAAAAGACTTGAAAATAAATTTCGATTTAAATACATTTATTGAGGAGAAAACGTGAACAAATTGAAACATTGATTGTATTTAGGCTTAGAGAATTTAAAATGAAAACAAAACCAACAATCGCAAATGAAAACCAAAAAGGAAAATAAATAAAATACAAACAAAACCAAATATATTAAAAAAATGCAACTTTAAACAAACGTTCTAAAAGGCAACAAGAAATTAAAAAGAAAATCTTAGAGAATTAAGCAACACGAACAGCAAATCGATACACACTCGAATTAAATCTAAAGCTGCAATGCAAAATGTTTAGTTTGTAGGAAGTACACTGAAAAAAATTAGAAAAAACAAAAGAAATAAGAAAATACCATACAGCAACCACAAAAGAACACACACACACACACACCCACACGTGAAAACAAAATAGAGAAAATTTAGTCAAAATGTTAAATGGTAAACTAACAAGTAATACTAACTAAAGACAAGAGAATTCCATACACTTAAACAAAAACATATTTATAAACACACACTAAATCGAAATGAGTTTTGGGGATTACAAATCCCAGAAGACAATGCAGCATTCAGCGCCAAATACAGCAAAACCTAACTTGTTAAACGCGAGCAAACATTTAAATAAACCTAAACACAAAAGAAAACTATATATATATATAAATATATAAGTGTGAACACGACAGCAAAAAAATAAAAAAGAAAAACAAAAACAAATAAACACACAAACAAACACTCTTCTAGCTAAATTACAATAATATTAAAACTAAGATCTTCACTCGAACACTTGCAAGAGATGCGAAAACCAAAATACATGCATAGGTAAATTCCATAGTTGAAAAAAGCGAAAACGTAAAACAAAATATTGAGCACAAACTTCCATTTATCCTGATAGGTTTTGCCTTTATTTTTTTTTATATGAGTTTTCAATACGAAAACAAG